GTGCATGTTGAATTGACCACACCCAAGAGCTTGCCAGATTTAAAGAATTCCTCAATGGCTAGAGTAACTTCATCCCCTACAATAGACCATGCAGATTTGTAAAAAGAAACACTATCCATCAGGTCCTGGAGACTTGTTATCATGCATAGAAAAAATAGCTTCCTTGATTTCTTTTTTGGAAACTGGTTTAGAGAGCATTCTAACATGAGAATCTGTCAAACAGGGCCCAGATTTAATAACTTCAATGTCTGGATCAATAGTATCAGTAGCTTTCCCCATAAGGTTCATGTAAAAGGAGACAAATTCTTTAACAATCTCATCACCATTAGTAATCCTTTACCCTATTTCATTGTAGAGGACCATCACTTTATTTTGGTGCTTGTTGATTTCGATGATAGAATGAAAGAAGTTTGTGCATCTATCACCTTTGATACTCCAAGCAATCTCGACTTTTTGTTGATAAAAGGACAATTCATAGTCGAGTAACTTGTTGAATGAAGCTATACATTCCTTCTCCTTGATGATGAGGGATTTACTTAGAGGGTTCATATGGAGAATTTTTTGAATTTCTTCCAGTTCTAGCCTAGCTCTCAGGACTTGTTCACTGATGTTACATAAATTTCTCTTATTAAGATCCTTGAGAGCACTTCTCAAAATTTTCAGTTTAGTGTAAACTGAATACATTTTGAAGCCTGAGATATCAGATTGCCATATACTTGCAACAGTGGGTAAGAAACTATCATGTTTATTTCACATGTTAAAGAGTTTAAAAGGCTTTTTACCTTGCACCATATCTTCATAAATGGATACCAAGCCTGGGGAATGATCAGAGAAATTTGGGAGAAGAAACTCAGCCTGGCTAGCATTGAATAAATGCAGTCAAGAATCGTTCACCAAAGCTCTGTCCAGTCTACACCAGATCCTTGAATTAGCATCTTGCTTGTTGTTCCAAGTGTAGAAACATCATGTTGACTTAAGATGGTTAAGGTGGCAATCACAGATGAAATCCCTGATGTCTTTGAAATCAGCCTCAGTGAGAACTGAACCCCCAAGCTTTTCTTCATTGCTAATTACTGAATTAAAGTCACCACACAATAACCAAGTATTATTCCCATTTGCTTGATGAATGAGTTTTAATTCATACTAGAGATCCTTCCTGGCTTCCATGTGATTAGACCCATAAACCGTAGAAACAACACATTGAAATCTTCCATCTATAGATTGAACTGAGCATGTAATCTATTGAGCTGAGGAATTAACAACATTAATATCTAGGATATTAGGATCCCACAAGATCATAAATCTAGCTTTGCTAACATTATTAGCATTAGATAGCCAATTCTAGTTTTTTACAATTTTCTTAGCAATAATAGGTAAACTTCTATCTTTAATCTTTGTTTCCATTAAGGCTAGATAGGAGAGATGGTACTGGGATATGTACTACTTCACCAAATGTTGTTTAGAGGACTTATTCAGTCCCCTAACATTCAAAAAGGGTAGGTTCATTTATTTCATCCCCCCATCTATTGTAGAGGGATCAATATCCACTTCATCAAGATGAGAGAAAGAGTTGTTAATGGGTGTCACAATAGGTTGTTTTTGATACATTCTTTGAATTTGAATCCAGGAAAAATCAGTTTGAGGGGATCTTATATCAGATCCAGAATTCTGAACATGCACAGCATGCACAGACCCTGATAAACTGCAACCTTCTTTTTCAATCATTGTTTTGTGACCAGTATTTAGCTGTTCATTAGCCTGTGAAAAGATATGAGTCGGCCTAGACTGAAAGCTAGATTCTGCATTTAAGATACCCTACTGGGAATTAAAAAGCAAATCCACATTTTGAGCATGCACAGCTGAAAAGATATGAGTCGGCTCAGACTGAAGGCTAGATTCAGCATTTAAGCATTTAAGATACCCTACTGGGAATTAAAAAGCAGATCCTCATTTTGAGCATGCACAGCTTGTACAGGCACCACATTTTGAGCTTGTACATGCACTTGAGTTGAATCTACATCCCCTTTTGAGTTCAGAGTCATATTTCCCACTTCATTCACTACAGATTTGGGGGCATCATTATGTAAACTACACCTTTGAGAAACATTACCATCAACAATTTTTTGCTTAGGAATCCACTTTTGAACTCTGGGGTGCTTTTTGCAGAACTCAGTATCATGTCCAACAAATTTACACTAATTACACCATTTAGGTTTGAATTCATACCATACCATTTGGTTATATGATTCCCCATTAGGACCTTGTATGATGATGTGATCAGGAAGGGGAGAGGGCATCTTAACCTTCACCAGGACTCTAGCATAAGCCAGTCATTGCTTATTTGCAGTAAGCTTATCCATAGCAATAGGCCTACCAATCACACTTGCAATTTTACTTATACTTTTTGAATTCCACAAGTTAAATCTTAGAGCTGGAAATTGTATCCATAAAGGATATATACAATCATCTGATTTGCTTATTTCCTCTTCTAGTGTCCAGGGTTTCAAAAGAATAGGTCTGGAGCCAAAAAACCATGGACCTTTGCCTAGAATCTCACTCATTTCAACTTTGTTCCTGAACTTAAACAAGAATAAACCTGTCTTAAGGAAGCAAACTTCGGGAACTGGAGACCAAACTTTCTACACATAATTTTCCATCGCCTTAAATTTAACATTTAAACCTAAGACATGTCCAATTAGTGAAGATTGCCACATTGAAGCTCCTTCATACCATTCATCTTCATTAAAGGTGACTGAATCTTTAGCCTCTGAAGGGAAATAATCAAGGGACATACCACTTCCAGGTTTCCTATTGTTAGCAAATAGGCTAACCTAACTTTTAGCAGGATTTTTCTCATGAACTAGATTTAAAGATTCTTTTAATTCATCGGATTTCTCAACTGGAGATTTCTCATTCTTTTTCAAAAGGACACCGGAATTAGAAATAGAAATTGGATCCGAGTTCAAATTATCAGATATAGATTTTAATGAAACAACGTTCGTATTTGAAACAGACACATGATCTGATGTCAAATCTCTAACTGAATCATCGAAAAAATGTTTTCTAGATAAGGAATTTTCCAGATTATCCACCAGCTCAGCTTCATCAGCCTAAGATCCACCATTAGAACAACCAACAAATTTTCCAGAGGTCAGAGTCATATCAGAGATCGACGGCTTGCAGAGCCTGGAATGAACACCAATCATCGTAGGAGTGACTTGAGAAGGATGAGAATCATAAATAAGGGTAGAATAATAAAGAATCTCCATCATCGATTTCTTTTTCTTCCCCCCTTTGGACCCATTGACCCCATCTCAATACATGAATCTTCACCATCTTCAATAAAAGAAGTATCAGATTGATCCTCAAGAGCCAGCAAACTAGGATTTGAAGATTTCAATCCAATTTCCAGAAATTTTTTTCCCACTTTTTTTTTTCTTTTTCTTGCCATTTAAACCTAAGCGGGGGCGCAAATTAGCAGAGAACAAATCGCCCTCTAACTTGCGCCATAACCGCCATAAGGGTGAGATTCGAACGGCTCTCTAGACCATGCTCTATTGGTTGTATTATCTTTCATCTTCACCATTTTTGCACATAATATCTTCACTTCAAATGATATGGACTGGAAAACTCTTCCACAAGCAGCCTCTTCTTCTGGAAAATCAACAGATTCTTAGCCTTCCAAATGTGGTACAGGCACACCACAGCAGCAGCTCTTTTTATCCTCTTGATGCTCACACTTCCTTTCCAAGCAGCTAGCATCCAAGGTATGATGTCAAGTCATCTACAAGGAGGGTTAATTAAATTCCTGCACAAAAGACATTGCCAACTCCCAAGTCTGCAAGCTGAACCTGCACTAAAAACATATGATCTCTGTTCTCTATCATCACTCCACATAGAACGATCAAACTTTTTTATTAGACTAACACCTCTAACTTTAAGAGTAATTGCATATAATCTTCATAAACTATTTTATTTTACCAAATCTTATGAGAAAAATTATCTTTTAATTACCATATTAGCATCAACAATTCTAATGTATCAAGGTAAGCGTAGGACAAAAGAGAATGAAAAATTCGTTCTCAGTCCCAAGAATATCTTTTTAATTAAAAAGGTAAAATAAGTAATTTTTTGGGACTAAGAAAATATTCTTATCTTGTTTTTTAGACTTATGTTTTCACACGAAAATGTTAGAATAGATGTTGCTAATTTGGAGATTAAATGAGTAATTTTATGTGAAATTTAATAAGGTAAAACAATTCAGGGTTTATATGTACAGCAAACTCCTGAATTTCAAAAGGATTAAGGGTAATAAAAAAAGTTGATGAGGATTTACTGCAACTATTGAAAGCGGAGTTTTCTTGTAATTAACCAAGATATAAATATTTTCCTTTCCCAGCATTTTATGATTCTGAGTTTTTTAAGGACAGATGAAAGGTTCTTCATGTGTTCTTGGCCAGTACTAGGAGATGTCACATGACAACTCTTCATTTCCTATTTATAAAAGTTAAAAGACTAGCAAAAAGCCAAATCGAAAAATTAAAATATTCTTTTTTTTTATTATAAATTTCGAGAGAGGTGATGAGATGCATAGTAAACGTAACACAGTACCCAAGTGGGGGTATATTTTTTCAGAAATCTTACTGTATTGGTTGTTGTTTATGATGGACTTCATGACTCGAGGTTTCAATAGTTATAATATTGACAGACATTTTGTGTTCACACCTTACTTCAAATGGGCTATTATTAACTTATTCAGCATTTTAAAACAGATTGGGGTGTAATTTTTAAACGTTACAGAGGGGTGATTACAAATATTGCAACAGTTTCATATGCATTTTGTAAATTCCAATCAAAACAGCCACGCGGGCTGTTCTGATAGGATAATATTAACCAAGAAACAGGAGTCGCCAGGGCATTTGATCAAAGCCGTCGTTGCCCTCTCTTCCTCTTCAGTAAACATACTTTTCTTTCCCATAGTTAATTAGTTAAGTTCTTTCTCTTTGAGTGATGGACCCTGCAGCTTCCTACGGCATCGCGTGTGTAGTGGATCCAGTGAAGGCTCTGTACAATGCAGCCTTTGGATATGTGGTGTACTGCAGAGAAAATGTGGAATCCCTGACCCAAGAAGCCCGAGAACTGGGTAGCAAAATGGAGGATATGACCAAGGATCTTGCGGACGCTGACAGGCTCGGGAAATCGCCGAGAAGTGGAGCAAAGCTGTGGCTTCAAAGGGTGAAAGAAGTTCAAGGTGATTTCATTTGGAATTGTTACATTTCTATCTTCCACTCTTTTTTTTAAAAAGTTATTACTTATTTGTGTAAATTTCACAATAATGTATGTTTCATGAAGTACTAGGAATTTTCCAGAAAGAATATCATAAATCAAATTTACCAGGGAATATATATATATATATATCATTAACTTTCAGAAAACAATCCATAAATTAATTATCATGAACTTTCATTTATCTTTCACATAACCACCCTGGATTCATAAACAAAATTGTTAGAATACCATGCCATTTAATAGTTTGATAGTATGGGACGCTTTGATTTGCAAATTTATGGTGCTTTTCTCCAATGCTCATCCCTAACTGGTAGACTCATCAAGACGTAATTCCGATGTTATTCTGAGTGCACACCAAATTTTAGATATTATTGGTGAAGAGAACGGACCTCGACGACGACGACGGCGACGGCGACCTCGTCGGAGACGGAGGCGAACAACGAACGGCGGCGGAGAAGCGTGGAAGCTCGCTTGTAGAGCCTGCGGGTCTGGAGGAGATCGTGGAGCTCGCATGTCGCCCAGGAGCTCACCTACGGGCGAGGTGGTTCGAGCTCGCCTGTGCGATCACGAGCTCACCTGTTTGTGATCTCGCCTTGGAACTCGCCTGCGTGGGTGGGATCCAACTGGATCGCACAAGCCCTAGGGTTTCACTATAAAAGGGAAATCATGTTCATGAGATCAATTGGAGCAGCTCTTCTCGCGATTTTTTTCGAGGAGAATTTCTTCAGTGGTGACGGCGGCACTTCTCAAGGGTTTTGAGAAGGGTTTTTTGAGAAGAGAAATTGAGCTATGATTTTAGATTAAAATCACACGTGGTATTTTTTGAAAAATCTCAAGTTTGAGATCTTCTCTATTTCAAGCTTTGTAATTTCTTGTAGTTAAATAAAAAATTATTTGTGCGGCTCTCGTGGACGTAGGTAAGTTTGCCGAACCACGTAAATCTGTTGTCTCGTCTCATCTACTTACTGTTTTATATATGTATTCGTTATTGTTTGTATTAGTTGGTTTGAGTCTGGCTTAAACTCAAGCTTGAGTTGTTTTCTCAAGGGATTAATTAGCTTCCGCGGCTGTGTGGGCGTCTCGCGCCTCCCTACAATTGGTATCAGAGCCCGTTATTCAGATTGGAGGTGATAAAATTTTTGATCTGAGGTGGTGCTTGATTATTGTGTGGTAAACATAAGGTATTTATTAAAATTCCTGAGAGAAGAGGGTTTATTAATACAAGCGAAGAATGACGTCTACAAGTAAAACAATTAAAGTTGGAAAGTATGAGATTGAAAAATTTAATGGGAAGAATGATTTTTCCTATTGGAGGATGCAGATGAAAAATTCGGTGATTTCGCAGAAATTGTATAAGACTTTGATAGGAAAAGAGAAGAAGCACAAAGATATGTCCGATGAGGATTGGAAAGAGTTAGATCTCGAAGCACGAGCGTCAATTATCCTATGCCTTGAGAGAGATGTTGCTTTCTTGGTAGATGGAGAGGAAACTACAGCGGGCGTGTGGTTAAAGTTAGAGAGTTCTTTCATGACAAAGAGTCTAACAAATCGGATCTACTTGAAATCTAAATTATATACTTGCAAAATAGAGGAAGGCTCGTCAATCTGGGAGTACATCAACAAGTTAGATAGGATCATATCGGATTTCAAGGACATTAATGTGATAGTAGAAGATGAGGATCAAACACTTCTGCTACTTCTTTCTTTACCGAAGTCTTATGGAAACCTGATACAAACATTGATGCTTGTAGGAGAAAATTTGACGATGGATGAGACTAGAACGTCACTTCTGGCGGATGATCTTCAAAAAATTATAACTAATGACATGACCACTAGTGGTAATAATGAGCAAACGCAGGGACTGTTTGCTAGAGAAATGGGCAACGAGCGAAGAAAAGGTAAGGGAGGAAATTCTAGATCGCAATCGAGACATCTTGCGAGAAGACCGTATTTCAAATATGGTGAAGTTGAGCATTTCAAGGTCGACTATCCAAATAAGAGAGTAGGTGGGAAGAAGAACAATAACAAGACTGAGAGGAGAAAAGGTAAGGAAGAAGCGAACTATGTTTCAGAGGAAGGGAGTGAGAAGGAATGCTATGTCGTCACGGGTGGCGAGGATATCTCTGGGAAGTGGATTCTTGATTTAGGTTGCTCTTACCACATGTGCCCAAATAGAAAGTGGTTTACTACCTACAGAAGCATTAATGATGGAATCGTATTGATGGGGAACAATCATGCTTGCAAAATGGTGGGGCTAGGTAATATTAAGATCAAGATGTATGATGGAGTGGTCCGAACCTTGACGGATGTGAGGCACGTTCCCGATTTGCGAAAGAATTTTATCTCAGTTGGTGAATTGGACTCCGATGATTGCATGATTGTTACAGAGAAGGGAGTGAAGAAGGTTGTTCGGGGTTCTCTAGTAATGATGAAGGGCGTTCGTCACAGTAACCTATATACTCTCTCGGGTATGACGGTGATAGGAGATACAACGATTGGAACTGAAGAAAGTGATGGAGACCCATGTGAGCACACACGGTTATGGCATAGGCAGCTTGGGCACATATCAGAGAAGGGTCTAGATCTGCTTAGTAAGGAGGGTTTGCTGAAGAATATGAAGAAATATTGCATGGATTTTTGTGAGGATTATGTGTACGGAAAGGCGTACAGGGTCCAGTTCTTGATAAGCAACCACAAGAGCAGAGGTATATTAGACTATGTGTATACAGATGTTTAGGGTCCAGCCCAGAAAACCTCCAAGGGTGGTTCCAGGTATTTTATCTCATTCATAGATGATTATTCTAGTTATGCTTAGATTTATTTTCTTAAGCATAAGAATGAGGTATTCGAGATATTCAAGAAGTGGAAAGTAATGGTTGAGAACAGAGCAGACAAGAAATTAGAGATACTGAGATCTGATAACGATACAGAGTATACAGACGGTGCTTTCAAGGAGTTCTGTGATCAGGAGGGTATTGCTCGACACTGGACAGTCAGGTCCACACCATAGTAGAATGGAGTCGTAGAGAGACTGAACCGTATATTACAGGAGAAAGCAATGAGTATGCGATCACATGCTGGTTTGGGTAAAGAATGGTGGGTAGAAGCGGTTGCTATAGCTTGTTACATAGTGAACCGTTCTCCACATTCGATATTGGATGGTGATGTACCCTATAGGGTATGGTCAGGGGAGCATGCAGATTATGATAGGCTTAGGATTTTCCGATGTACCACGTACTATCACGTCAACGAGGGAAAGCTTGACGCGAGGGCCAAGAAGGCAATATTCTTGGGGTATGCAAAGGGCGTAAAAGGCTATCACCTTTGGTGTACAGAAGATTCTAAGTTCGTGATCAATAGATATGTTACCTTTGATGAGAAATCCATGATTGCCAGGGCATCCAAAAATGGTGATGTTGGGACTGTTGGGACTTCAAAGTCACAGGTGATTGAAATAGAACCTAAAGACCAACCAGGTTCTAGTCATGTTCAATAGGAGGGTCATGAAGATGATGAGCTTGAACAGGAGCAGGTTCAGCAAGAAAATATATAAATATTACAACAACAACAGCTCGAAGATAGTTTGGCTTCCACTAGGCCAAAGCGAGCATATAAGCAGGTTCAGAAGCTGGGGTCAGATCATCCTCTGAAGCACTATAGGCAAATAAATTTGATTGAGTACGCACTTTTAGTGGAGGATGATGAGCCGGTCACCTTCAAAGAAGCTATTTGGGACATGTATAGTGAGAGTTGGTTGGCTGCGATGGAGGAAGAGATGGAATCTCTCCGGAAGAACCAAACATGAGAGGTAGTTCCATTGCCCGTAAGGAAGAAAACTATTGGTTGTAAGTGGGTGTATAAGAGAAAAGAGGGCCCTTCTGAGCTCGACGGTACAAGGTACAAGGCTAGGCTAGTGGCTAAGGGGTTTGCATAAAGAGAGGGTGTGGATTACAATAAGATTTGTTTTCTCCGGCGGTGAAACACACATCTATTCGGGTGCTATTGAGTATTGTTGCTCATGGAGTCTTGAGCTAGAACAACTCGATGTCAAAACGGCCTTCTTGTATGGAGACTTGGATGGGGAAATCTATATGCATCAGCCTGAGGGTTATAAGGTTGAGGACAAGGAGAATCATGTATGTCGCTTGAGGATATCACTATATGGATTGAAGCAATCTCCTCGTCAGCGGTACAAGCAATTTGACTCCTTTATGCTAAAGTATGAGTTCTAGAGAAGTGATTATGACTATTGTGTCTATATTCGGAAGCTTTATGGAGGTGATTATATCTATCTTCTTTTGTATGTGGATGACATGCTTATTGCTTCGAGAAGTAAGGTGGAGATAGATAAGCTAAAATCTTAACTTGGTAAAGAGTTCGAGATGAAGGAAATGGGTACTGCTAAGAAAATACTAGGAATGGAGATTAGAAGAGAGCGGACAAATCAGCGATTGTTCTTGAGTCAAAAAGACTATATTGAGCGGGTTATCGCAAGGTTTAGGATGCAAAGTGCTAAGTCAGTGATGACTCCATTGGCTCCACACTTCAGGCTCTCAGGTAAACAATCTCCCACTATAACGAAAGAGAAGACACACATGGAGCGTGTACCTTATGCTAGTGCATGTTGCAGTTTAATGTACGCAGTGGTGTGTACACGTCCATATATTTCATAGGCGGTCAGTATTGTCAGTAGGTTCATGACGAATAAGGGAAAGGTACATTGGGAAGCGGTGAAATGGGTCCTGAGGTACTTGAAGGGTACCGCTGAAACGAGTCTGTGTTTTGGTGGAGATACATGTCAGATTAATGGATTTGTGGACTCAGATTATGTGGATGATTTAGACTGACATTGATCTACTACTGGTTAGGTATTTAGTATACATGGTGCTCCAGTTAGTTGGTGATTAATGTTACAGGCTATAGTGACACTTTCTAATACAGAGGCTGAGTACATGGCCATGACAGAGGGAGTGAAGGAAGCGCTGTGGTTGTGGGGTCTGCTAGACGATTTGGGGATTAAGCAGGATTGCGTGAACTTGTGGTGTGATAGTCAGAGTGCGATTCATTTGGCTAAAAATCAAGTTCATCATACTCGTACCAAGCATATCGATATCAGGTATCATTTTTTGTAGGATGTCATAGATGAAGGTAACATTTCTCTCATGAAGGTGCACACGAATGAGAATCTAGCCGACATGTTGACCAAGATGGTGACAAGTAGCAAGTTTCAGTATTGCTTAGACTTGCTTCATATCAGCCCATGTTGATCTGCCTAAGAGGGCAATATGCAGAACTATGATTAGCTTGATCCTAGTCAGAGGGTACGTAGGCAGCCATGGTACTATGGTGCAGCTGATTTGGCCTGGTTTGACGTTTGCGGTGTTCTTCTGATGATCGTCCAAATTTTAAGGTTTATCAAATGATGTACGAGGTGGAGAATTGAAGAGAACGGACCTTGACGACGGCGGCAACGACCTCACCGGAGACGGAGGCGAACAGCGAACGACGGTGGATCTCAAAAGAGACAAAGGCAGGGGGCTTTGTGGGCATGGAGAGGCGAGCGGATCTCGCTTGCTAGGCTACCCTCGAGCTCGCCTATGAGGAGGCGAGAGCTCGCCTACGTGGAAGCGTGGAAGCTTGCTTGTAGAGCCCGTGGGTTTGGAGGAGATCATGAAGCTCGCCTATCGCCCAGGAGCTCACCTGCGGGTGAGGTGGTTTGAGCTCGCTTGTGCAATCACGAGCTCGCCTGTTCGTGAGCTCGCCTACATGGGTGGGATCCAGCTGGATCGCACAAGCCGTACGGTTTTCCTATAAAAGGGAAACCCTGTTCATGAGATTAATTAGAGCAGCTCTTCTCGCGATTTTTCCGAGGAGAATTTCTTCAGTGGTGGCGGCGGCACTTCTCAAGGGTCTTGAGAAGGGTTTTTTTAGAAGAGAAATTAAGCTATAATTTTAGATTAAAATCACACACGATATTTTTTGAGAAATTTTAAGTTTGAGATCTTCTCTATTTCAAGCTTTGTAATTTCTTGTAGTTAAATAAGAAATTATTTGTGCGGCTCCCGTGGACGTAGGCAAGTTTGTCGAACCACGTAAATCTGTTGTCTCGTCTCATTTACTTACTGTTTATCTATGTATTCATTATTGTTTGTATTGGTTGGTTTGAGTCTGGTTTAAACTCAAGCTTGGGTTGTTTTCTCAAGGGATTAATTAGCTTCTGCGGCTGTGTGGGCGTCTCGCGCCTCCTACAATTGGTTATCCTTTTTAAGGTTGAGGACAAGACACATAAGTCATAAGAATATATATACTGGAGATCAAGCGGACTTGGATCCTCTCCAATTAGGTAGTAATTAGGGAGGTCCAATTCTTTCGGTCCTTACCTTCGGTCTTAATTTCAAAAGTAAGATACGGTCATGTAGGATTGCCACAATCAAGCTAGTAGTTTTCCATATATAACCATAGTTTTGATGAATATAATTTCATTTATGATAAAATCAAAAATATCTAAAACCAATTAAAAATCTAAAATAAATAATTTCAAATTCCTCCAATTTCATTCTAATATTTCATTTCTCCGTCTTCATATGTTGCTTTCAACGTTCCGTTGCATATATTATTTTTATCAATATATCTTTTTCTTAGCATAGTATTTAATTATATACGGTAAAAAATGAAGTTTGAAAATGGGAAGGGCTTGACTATTCTTCCCCTGAATGGAGACATGTTTTATAATTCTAATTAATTTTCTTATAAATATTCAATTTTATCAAAAATAAAGTTATAGTGTTACTCGGAAAATCACTAGTATGATTGTTGCAATTCTACGGGTTAATATCTTATCCTTTGAAATTTAGATAGAGAGCAAGGATTGAAAGAAATGGATCCTAATTGGTAGATCCAACATTATGCCAAACCCAAACAGAATAGATTAGAGGATGCTAATTAAACCTCCAAATGGATGTTGTTAATTGTCCAGCATTCTTCTTCTTCTTCTTTGTATTTTTTTAGAAATATGAAATTAAGAATTAATTGTCTGGCATTCTTGTTTTCACTGAGTGGTAATTCAAGAATCTTCCAAATTTTAGTGTAATTTAATAAGAAGCTAATAAGTTCAATTCTACGAATTAATTTCCCTATTATTTTCATGTACAGATGCAGCGAAGGAGATGGAATCAGCATTCTCTGGAATGTACAGATGCGCAGGCTGCACCCCAAACGTTGTTTTCCGTTATAGGGTAGGCAAGAGGGCTACAAAGCTACTTAACGACGCGAGAGAGCTCAAGGACAGAAACTTCGAAGAGATTGCCACCACGCCGGCCCCATGCCGCTTCGTTGAACGACCTGTCGGGTCCATGATCGGCCGCACAGCCGAGCTCAACAGCCTCCAGCAACTCTCCTCTGATGACGACGTAAGCATCATCGGCATCCACGGCATGGGCGGCGTGGGCAAAACCATGCTCCTCAAGAACTTCTTCAACCAATTCCACCTCAGAGACGAGTACCACATGATATATGTCAACATGAATGGCTGCCACACCGTCGAAGACGCCCAGAAGGCCATCGCCTGCGACCTCGGCTTGGTCTGGATCGACGACGAGAACCAAGACGCACGGTCTCGCCGCATATTCTCGTACCTCAGGAACAAAGCCTTCGTATTGATCCTCGACGACGTTTGGGAATCGGTGGACCTCCATCGCGTTGGGATACCGACTGCAATGAAGAGAACAAAATCGAAAATTGTTCTGGCAACACGGATCGAAGACGTATGCGACAGCATGGATGCAGAGAAGGTGCACGTTGAGTGCTTGGGGTGGGATGATTCGTGGAGCCTCTTTGTCGAGAAGGCGGGGAATAAACTGATTGGGACACACTCTACTATCCGTCGCCATGCCGAGACTCTGGTCAAGAAATGTGGGGGGCTCCCTCTGGCGCTCATAACTGTCGGACGAGCTATGGCCACCAAGAAGACTCCCCAGTCGTGGAAGAACGCCATCACGCAAATGGATGTCTCTCCTCAGGAGATCCTCGGCATGGAGAAGGAAGTGCTTTCGAGTTTGAAATCTAGCTATGACAACCTAGCCGACGATGCAACAAGGACGTGCCTCTTATACTGTCTTCTGTTCCCTGAGAACACTGCGATTTATAAAGAATCGGTTATCGATTACGGGATTGGAGAAGGAGTTATAGATGATAAGTTCTTTGATGCGGATGAGATCTACGATAAAGGACATGATGTTATTGATGTCTTGAAGTCGGCGTCGCTACTGGAGAGGGTCGATGAGGATGTTGATTTCGTGAAGATGCACCCGATGGTTCGAGTATTGGCGTTCTGGATAGCCTGTGACTGTGGGCAGGAAGAGAAGAGGTGGCTCGTGAGGACGAAGCGTGGTTTGAAAGTAGCACCCGAGGGCGTGAAATGGCATGGAGCAGAGAGGGTTTCGCTTGCGGATAACAGCATCACAGCTCTTCCGGAGGTACCGGAATGCCCTTGTTTGCTGACCCTACTGCTTCACCACAACCGTGAGCTGGGGAAGATCTACGATGGCTTCTTGAGTTGTATGCGCAATCTTCGCGTTCTTGACGTTTCGCATACATCCATACAGGAAATTCCAACTGAAATAGGCGAATTGGTTGAGCTCCGGTACCTCGACCTCTACAATACTCAGATCACTCAACTGCCGCGGGAGG